CAGCGCCGCCGGGGAGCCCCGGGAGCCGGGCAGCGGCGCGGGCCGCCGGCGGGGCCCGGGGCGGCCGGGGCCGCGGGGAAAGGGCCGGTTTGGGCAGCGGAAGAAACACAGATGGCGGCGGCGCGGCGCCATTCCCGGCCCGGAGCAGGCAGCCAGCAGCCCAGTCCTCACCGCGGTCCGCCCGCTGCCGCTAAATACCCGGATGCGCCGGCGGCCGCCTGAGAGAGCCAGACGCCGAGCTGGGGAGCGGCCGAGAGCAGCGGAGCGAGCGGAGCAAGGCGAAAGCGGCCGCAGGAGCCCGAGCCGGAGCGGGGCGCACCAGAGGCCGAGCCGGCCCCGGGCACCCGACCCGCCGTCGCACGCAGCCAGGGGGGCCGGGCCCAGGCCGCAGCCCGGCGCCCCCGGACCCCCCGAGTCCTCCGGGAAAGCAGCGACAGCGCGGGGGCACACGAGGGACCCTCCGATCCCGCTCACCTAGCTTCCTTTAGGAAGGCAGTGAGAGGCGGTGGACTCCAAGGCCTGCCTGGGGGGCGGCCTTTTTGCAGATATCCCAGCCCTGTCTGGGAGCTGAGACCCTCAAAAAAGAGGCGGCAGAGCCAGCGCTTTGGGACCACTCTTGGGGGGGCCCCCCTCCCAGTCGCCTCCCCCTGTGCTCCCCTAGCGGGGCGTGTTTCTCCATCCAAGGGAGGACTTGTCTCCCCAAGGGTGACCAGGGCCACTACGAGGAGAGGTTTTAAGCAAGCCCTCAGCATGACGGAGAACTCGGCCCCGGCTTCCAAGCCCAAGAAGGCGAAGGCCTCAAAGAAATCCACGGACCACCCAAAGTACTCGGACATGATCGTGGCCGCCATCCAGGCAGAGAAGAACCGGGCCGGATCCTCCCGCCAGTCCATCCAGAAGTACATTAAGAACCACTACAAAGTGGGAGAGAATGCAGACTCGCAGATCAAGTTGTCTATCAAAAGGCTGGTCACCAATGGGGTCCTCAAGCAGACCAAAGGGGTGGGTGCCTCGGGCTCCTTCCGGTTAGCCAAGGGCGATGAGCCCAAGAAACCGGCGGTCAAGAAGGCTAAGAAAGAAGTCAAGAAGGCGGCGACCCCCAGGAGGGCGTCCAAGCCCAAGAAGGCTGCCACCACCAAGGCTCCAGCTAAGAAGCCCAAAGCTGCGGCCAAGAAAGTGAAGAAGAAAGCGGCGGCCACACCGAAGAAAGCCAGGAAGCCCAAAACTGTCAAAGCTAAACCCGTGAAGGCGTCGAAGCCCAAGAAAGCCAAGCCGTCGAAGCCCAAAGCCAAGTCCAGTGCCAAGAAGTCCACCAAGAAGAAGTGAACGCGAAGTCCTTCTGGACACTTTCTGGCGCTTCCCCTGTAAATAGTTTCCTCCTTTTTTCCCGGCCTATCCCCATCCCTTCACCTTGAGCCACTTTCTATTGCGACTTTGTAAGAGACAGAACAGAACTTTTATTCCTCGGAAATTGTTAAATAATTCATATATTCTTAACCAATCAGCCAAGAACAGTCCCAACAGCCAATCTCCGTAATCATGAGACTGTCCTTAATTTTTGTTTTGGCAACTTGTTTTTTAAGATCTTTCTGATGTGATGGATTTTAAGTTGGGGGGGGTTATTTTGTATAAAGTACTTTTTGCGGGGTGTGGGAAATTGGGGGGCTGGGGGGTGAACAGAGGGAAGGAGACTGCTTATCCCACCCAGAAGAAAGGGACATAACTTAGGTATGTTTTCTCTCTAGTCACAGCCATTGGACAGGACTCCAAAAGGCAGGGTCTGGGGCCCCTCTGAGGGGGACAAAGCTTGCAGGGACAAGGAGGAGGCTTGTGGCAGAAAAGGACACTCCTCTAGATAGAGTACCTTCCCAAAGCACACGGCTGGATGTTGAGGCGACCTGAAAGATTCTCCTGAGCTCTCGATTGGGTTTCAGTTGTTAATCGTCATTTGGCTCCCAAACGGAGCAAGAAAGCAGCTAAATGGAACAGCGTGGAGAGAAAGAAGCTGCAATATTAGCCATCTTTTTGGGGAGAACGTTCCTTTGTGGATGGGAAAGGGTGTATTGTCTCCTAACTTCTGGGAGGGTCTTAGGCTGGGGTGGGAACTTTGTCTGAAAGTGGCAAGGAGGAAAGAGTCTGACAAAAGTGCCTGATCTTACTCTGAGGTTTGTGCTTGTGTGTGTCTGCATCATTGTGATAGCTTTGTTTATTCCTAAGGGTTGGGTGATTTTTTTTTTAAAAGCATTTTCTTGCCTTTTTCTTTTTCCCTTGCTCTGAAGAGTAGGCAGGTTGGCCCAGGAGTGGGGGAGCGGCCGGCCCTGAGCCCTGACTTTGCTGAATAGCGCAGAATGGCGATTTTCCAGCAAGAGTGGGCTCGAGACAGGCTCTCCCTCCAACCCGTGCCCTCCGGTCTAGCTCTTCTCCTCTGGGGTCGCCTTTCTGAACCCCAGCTTTTGTCTAATGAGCCACGTGTCTACCATAGAAAAACCCAACCTCTTAGGACTGTTTTTTTTCTGGGTAGTGGTAGTCCTAGATTAGGGGTGGGGAACTGGGAGGGAGTGGGTGGGGAGGGGGGGAAAGGAGCGGAGAAAGACATCATGCAGTCAATTTTGAATTTGCTCACGTAGTTTTCACAGAGCTGGATCTGTACCTAGTCATTGCTTAAGTTTGCTTGGTGCTGTCCCCACCGTGGGGCAATTAGTATGTACGTTTGTTTCTAAGTACCCGAGGAAAATCTGGCAGGATTGACGCCTGCGCCCATCTTTCTTTTGCATTGTATTTTATTTTGAGTGTGATTATTGCTGTCTTTGTAATTTTAGAGTTTGAAATAAAATTGAAAAACGACCCAAAAAACCCACCCCCAAACTAATGCCTTTATACAGCTTCTGAGGCTTTTTCCTCTCCTCCCCCACCCCCGCCGCCATCCGCGGTAGGTTTGGGAAATACGGGAGGGGGGAGCAAAATGGGGGGAACGTTGGAGGGAGAACACCATACAGTCTGGGATGGGGAAAGGGGGAGATTTGGGGTCTTGGGCACCTTATGTCCCAAAAGATCTGGGAGGGAAGAAGGGGGTGGGGGAGCCTCGCAGACAGGGGCTGCGTGGCCAGGATGGGGAGGGGCTGAGCATCCGGTAAGTAAAGGAGAATAGGAATGAGGTATGGGGCTGGGGGTGGGGTGAGGGCTAAAAGCCTTCAAGAGTGAGGCGCCAGCACTCGGGGTGTTGTAAGTAAAGGGTGCCCGTCCCCGCCCAAATGCGGGGACCAGGGCCCTCGTTTCTTGCCCATGCCTACTGCCATCCGGAGGCGGGGAGGAGCCAAACGCAGCTTGGGCCGGGGGCATTACCCTTGGCCTCGGATTCACTCCACAAGGCCTTCCCTAGTCGCTCCTGGAGAAAGCCCCCGGCCCCTCTTACTCTTTTAGAGGGTCCACCTCCCTTCCGGCGCTAGGCTGGAGGTGGGGTGAGGGGTGACCCTTATGCTCCAGAGGGTGGTAAAGTGGGCAGAAAGTGCTGGGTTGGGAGGTGAACGCGGATAAATTCCCGCCCTCCAGGATCCTGGCCCACCCCCCTTCCTTTGAGGCTCTGCCCATCTGAGGCCCAGTGCAAATCCCACCTTCTGAATCAAGCCGGCCCCAATTATTCCTTCGGCTCCTAGAATTTAGAGTAGGCCTGGACCCTGAGAGAGCGTCTAGAGTCTCTATCCTAGACCAACCCTTGCATCATACAGGTGAGGGACCAACCCCACAGAGGAACAAGATGGCAGCTCCTAAGGAGCCCAGCCAAGGCTGAAGCCCACGTTTTCTGACTCCAAATCCGGCAGTCTTTTGTCTACACCCCCTGGCTCCAGACTGGGGAGTCCTCAGTGTCCTCTGTTACCTGAGCGCAGGCACGGACACACACACCACCACCACCACCACCAAGTCAGCTTGGCATGTCCTGCTCACCTTTTAAAATAATAGCTAATGTGTTTTTTGTAGTGCTTACTATGAGCCAAGCACTTTATATATATTACCTCCTTTGACCCTCACAACAATCCTGGGAGGTAGGTACTATTATTATCCTCATTTTACGGATGAGGAAACTGAGGCCAAAAGAGGTTAAGTGGCTTGCCTAGGGTAATAAAGCTAATAGGTGTCTGAGGCAGGTATGACGAGGGATATTGGATAGAGCACAGTTAGGCTGTGGTGTGTTCTTCAGGGCAGACTGTCGTCTTTCTTTGCATCCTCTTCGCTTACTAGGGCGCCTGTCACTCAGTATGTGCTTAATAAATGTTTATAGATTGTTGATTGATGTCTGAGGGTCAGTTTCGAGTCTTTGCTACCTACTTGCATTTCGTTTACCTTCCGGCCCCCCCCCCAACTTCTTCAGGGAAAGGTTTCTTCAACGAATAGCCCCCAGCCAGGTCAGTAAGGAATAGGGACCAGGCCTGGATCCATGATTTCATTGTCTTGCTGAGCAATGAAACTCCCTTTATCAAAGCAACCAGCACCTTCTGAACGACTTATATCTTTAGACCGTTGGCTTGGGACACTGAGGGCTTAAGTGATTTGCCTAGAGTTACACACCAGTAAATGTCAGAGGTGAGATTTGAACCCAGGTCATCTTGGTTCCGAAACCCAGGCTCCCTTCTCAGTGTCTCAATAAATGTTCGATGATTGACTGATTGGCACTGAGTAGGTTCTCCGAAAACGCTTCCTGTTGCTACCTGCGCGATCTGGGCTCCTCATCTCCAAAGTGGGCCTTAAAGTATGGGAAGGTTTTCAGCTGGTGGCGACGCTGGCAAAGGTGGCGGTGCCGGAGTAAGGGAACAGAGCGGACATGGATGGGGAGGGAGCGGGGAGAGAAAGGGATGGGTTGGACTCCCTGAGCTGATCCCCACCGCCCTCCTCCACCCCTTTAAATGAACCTTGCTTGCAGACCGCCCAGCTTGGCTCCCGGCTTCCCCATTGGCTGAACGGAGCCCCTTCCCTCCCGACATATGAGCCTTTAGATGCGGCTTCGATGAGCACAGCACCCAGCCCAAAGGGAGCTCGCTCCGGCCTCAGTCCATTTCAGGTGTAACTGACTGTGATGTGGTGTGGCCGCCTACTGAGCTCGCCCCTAGCCCGGGCCCTCCCTGTGGCTCCGGGAGGGGGAGGCCGCCGGGCGCAGTCGGCCCTGGCTCAACTCACGGGCATCCTGGAGAGCCAGCTGGACGCGATCCGGGGGGCGGGCACGTGGAAGAGCGAGAGAATCATCACCTCCAAGCAGGGGCCCCACATTAGCGTGGAGGGCAGCCCGGGAGGTAAGGCCAGCTCTGACCTGGGCGGAGGGGGAGGGGAAGGTGGAGGCTGGGAGGGATGCTTCTGCCCCTGCCCCTGCCCCTGCCCCTGCCCCTACTCCTACCCCAGCCCCAGCCCCAGCCCCAGCCCGGAAGGCGAGCACTTCGGATTCCCCAACCGGAGGAGTGCAAGGTTGTCTAGCTCAGGGCGATGTCCCAGGGCCGGCCCCTTTGAGCACGGCCCCCACCAATATCCGCTTTCCTCCCAAGAAAATTGCTGGCAGTTGAGCTGGACTCCTGAAAGTAGTTGAGGGTTAGGAGAGGAAGGAAAATTCATATGTATGTGCCATCCATACACCGCCTCCCCGACCCCACCCCACCCCCAGCTGCTCCTTTGTGACCACTTTCCCCCAAGGAGGCCGCTCCTGTTCATTTAACATGATTTCACGGGCCGGGTGGACAGCCTGTTCCCGCTGAAAGCTAGGAAGCAGCTGCTGCAGGGGCCAGGTGCAGGAACAACCTGGAGGACCAGGTCTGAATTTGTGAAGCCCGGCTGGAAGGAGGAGGTGGGAGTGGGGGGTAGACGGGGATCTCGTGAGAGAAGCCTCCTCCATTGCTATGCCTTCTTCCTGCCTCCTGGCTCTCCCTCCTCATAGCTCACACAGGTCAGCTTCGTAATTCGAAATCCTGATTACATCGCTTTCCTCCTCACAAAGCCTTCCGTTGCCTCCTGCTGTCTGTAAAGGCTGCTAAACCTTCTCTAATCTTACTCCACCATCTACCCACAGAGCCAAATAGATACTATGGAGTATAGCAGGTGAAACATGGAAAGAAAATTAACAGTGTAGAAGATTGAAAATTCCCAGGATCCTGTGGCAAATTCAAGGGGCAGGAATAGAATCCATGGTCTCAGTTCTTACACACAGATGGACAAGAATGGCTAATGAACTAGGGAAATTCGAGAACACAGGGCGGAGAGAGGGAATGCTGGAATGAGAAAGGCTCGTGGTCAGATAAAAGAATTGGGAGGGTTCAGAAACTTGGAAGTGATAGCAAGACCTAAGCATGCACCATGTCTGAGAGGGGCTGAGACTTACTGAGAGGTACTTCATGATAGGATCTGGTTACAGAAAGATTCATCTAACTGGAAAAGAACTGATTAAATAAAAGGGACAATAGTGTCACCTTGTACATTGAGAGCATACGTTTATTTCACCAACCAGAGAAGGCGTGAAGATTGACAGAGAGAAATAGAAGTAATGTAGGAATATTCTACAGCTCACCCAGCCAGAAGGAGAAAATGGACGATGAGTTTATAACAAATCACAAAACCTGGTACAGAGCTTGAACTAGATGATCTCAAAAGCCCCCTGTGGCCTCTGTGAGTCAAGGCTAGAAAGATGGGATCAAGGTTAGAAAGAAATGAACCGCTGGGAACTTACAGTGGTTTCCAGTTTCACAAAGGCTATAGAGAATGGATTTCACTTTGGAGTGGGTCTCTAAAGTAGGTCTTTATTCTAGGACAGCTCTCAGCCTTCATCTAACATCCCCAGGCCTCAGAAGCTGTTGGCTTCAGCTGCTGGCCTTCTCTTTCTTACTTTGAGGTTCCTTACTCCCCAGTCAGCTAATGGAATCTATCGGGCAGATTGGGTGGAGGACTCTGATCTGCTGTCTTGGGTGAAGGACTGGCGCAGGGGGTGGTAGGATAACAAGGAGATTCTTTCTGAGAGACATATAGGTCAGAGGACCTGGGCTTAGATCTTCACTGCTTTCCGCCGTCTGACCTTAGGCACAAATCTCCTGCTTACTCTAGGCTTCTGTATTTTCATCTGTAAAATGAGAGTGTCGGACATTCATCTCTGAGATTCTGTGGTCCTGCAGTTTCCCACTAGCCCTTTCTAATACCCTATTTACAAGCAGGCTAGACTAGCTTTCTTCAAGGGTTGGGCCAGCTTATCCTGTGAGCCTATTTGCCAGCTCTGAGCTCCCGGTTCAGTCTCATTCCTTCCTACCTTCCCACCTTGGTTTGCTGACCTAGTTCTGATGCTTTGGGTCACTCAGAGGTCTAGGTTTCAAAAAAGCAATCTGTTTCCTCAAAACACATTGCTATAGATCCAGGTAAAAGCAGCTCCAAGGATAGATAAAAGCATCCCAGAAAAAGTCCATGACTCTTCGAGGAAGTTAACGAAATCAAGCTGGAGATTCCTTTGGGACACTCCCTTTAGCCACTCTGGGGCTCAGTATTCAGAGAACCACTTTTCTATTCCTTTTGCCCCTACAGTCCCACAACTGGGCCCTA